TTGGTGTTTCTTTTGATCCTTCTATCTTCTCAGTGAAACGGAACTAAAGTCATGTGCTTGTCTCAGCAGCATGTCCACTAAGGTTGGAACAATTCAGAGAAAATTCACATAGCCCCTGTACAAGAATGATACACACATTTGTGAAGGGTTTCATGATTTCTATTAAAAAAAAAAAAAAGAAAGAAAGAAAAAGAAGGGAAAAAAAAAAAAAAAACCAGCCCAGGCAATTTGGCGAGAACTTGTCTCTACAATAAATAGAAAATTAGCCGGGTGTAGTAGTGTGCGCCTGTAGTTCTGGCTACTTGAAAGGCTGAGGCAGAAAGATCACTGGTGCCTAGTGAGTCAACGCTGGGGTGGCCATGAGTGTGCCACTTCCCTCCAGCCTGGGCGACAGGGTGGGACTCCAACCCCCGCCAAAAAAAGAAAAGATGAAGCCATAAACTGAAGGAGAGAGAAGGGGGTGTGGAAGTTTGAAGAGAGACAGTAAGGTCTGGAAAAGTATCTCAGTACAGAATATCACAGAGTGAACAGTTTATAAAGAGAGGAAGTTTATTTGGCTCATCGTTCTGAGGCTGAGAAGTCCAAGAGCATGGTACTGGTATCTGGGAAGGCAGCCTCTTGCTGTGTCATCTTATGGTGGAAGGGTCTCTTATGGCAAGAAAGTGCACTCACATGAGACAGAGAAAGAAAGTCAGGCCCAACGTATCCTTTTATCGGGAACCCAACCCAGAGATAAAGGCATTAATCCACTCATGAAGGCAGAACCTTGTTGGCCTAATCTAAAAAACCCCACCTCTTAATACTGTTAATGTCAATTAAATTTCCTGGCCAGGTGTGGAGGCTTACGCCCTTTGGCAGGCTGAGGCGAGAGGATTGCTTGAACCTAGGAGTCTGAGACCAGCCTGGGCAATCTAGTAAAACCATATCTCTACAAAAAGACTTAAAAAATTAGCTAGGCATGGTGTTGCATGCCTATCATCCCAGCTACTTAGGAGGCTGAGGCAGAAGGGTCACCTGAGTCCAGGAGGTGGAGGCTGTGGCGAGCCATGATTGTGCCATGATTGGGCCACTGCCCTCCAGCCTGACTTAAAAGAAATACATATTAGCTGGGCATGGTGATGCATACCTGTCGTCCCAGCTACTTTGGGGGCTGAAGCAGGAGGATCACTTGAATCCAGGAAAGGAAGCTTTCAGTGAGACGGAATCACACTACTGCACTCCAGCCTGCGTGACAGAGTACGGCCCCATCTAAAAAAAATAAGTTGAAATTTTGGGGCACACTTTCAAACCATAGCAGTATCTTATCTTCCAGGTAAGTGGGAGAGAGAATTGAGGAGACAAACTGATGGTACTGCTTACCAATACAGAAGGCTCGCTCTGACATCTGTTGTCATCAATTTAAAGGAGGCCCTATCGCCATGGCTGTGCTTTTTTTCCTCCAGCAGAGTAGGTAGAGAAAAAGCTATTTGCCTGATGAGCCAGTGTCATGAAGGCAAAGAGAAACAAAGGAGTGAGTATGGTGACAGATATAGAATAAGCTGGATAATGGGGGGTGATAACACAAAGGAGTAGAGAGACAATAATGATTGGTAGGTCCGATGGGTTGGCACATGGCAACTCCAAAACAGAATGGCTTGCCTGGAGCCACAGCTGGAGACTAGAGGAGGAAAACGAAGACAGTGTCTGTATGTGGGTCCCTTCTTACCTAAGATTATACGGTTCGCTTCATCATGGAGTTACCCAGGGCAAAGGGGCAAGATCAAATTCTTTTCATTTTTCACCTTCTTTCCTTAATGTACCAAGTAATTATTGATCCCAACTTGATGCAGACTCTGGTTAAGCCATATATACTTGTAGTAAACTTGAAATGTCTGTTTTCTTCAGGGAGCATTAAGAGCTCCCTATTATCCTATAGAAATAAGAATTACACATAGACCCCAACATTTGGGGAAGCTGCATATGGAATTTGGGACTAGCATTGGGAAAAAAAATCATCAATCAGTTTTTTTGAGATAACATTGTGGTGATGGCCATCTTACATTGTGGTGATGGCCATCTTAAGGCTCTTCTTGCTTTATCTCCTACTCAGAATTCTTCAAAGGTTTTTTTTTTTTTACACTTCCTCCAGCACAAGGCAGTAATCCTATGGATGAATTTAGTGCGAGGGTGCAGGAGACTTGGTTGCCGCAGCCACAGTCTATAGGTCATTGGACTGGGGGGCTGCCCATTTGTCAGTGCTTTTATTTTCCAGGCACACCATTTTTACATCTCATCTCTTACTGCTCTCAATTCAACTTTATACATCGAAAGCAATCAGAATCTAATTTCCTACAAATTTTTTTTTTGGTAAGCTGATTCTCAAATTTATATCAAAGAGCAAATATGGAATAGTCAGGCTAATTTTAAAGAAAGAACAAAATGGGGGGGATTATACTACTACATAGCCAAGTATGCATCTGTAGTACTCAAAACAATGCGACATTTGGTCAATAACAGACAAATCAATCAAACGAACAGCATGGAGAGTTCAGAAAGACCCACATATGTATGGGTATGTAGTTTATCATAAAAGTGCTATTTCAAATCCATTGGAAATGGTGATGGGACCATTTGATAACTGGTATTCCGTTTTAACATATTGATTTTCTAGCTATTTTTGTTTGCTATTTTTATAGTTGCCATAGAGATTATGCTATGCACCTTTAACTTATCACAATGTACAGAGTTAACATTGAATTCAGGTAAAATATAGAAACTTTGCCCAAGTATGTTTTCATCCACCCTCTCCCTCACCCTCAGTCCTCGTGCTATTTGCTATGGAATTTGTTACATTTATATATGTCATCAGCCCCAAAATACAAAACAGTTATACTTTTTGCTTTAGTCACAAGCCCTTTGAGAAAGTTAAAAGACAAAGCGTACACATACACATGTATTTATGTGTTCCTTGACATTTTTACCATTTCTGGAGCCAGCCATTCCTTCCTGTCAATCGAGTTACCATCTAACATATTTCATACTTCCTTTCAACCTTGCCTTAAAGAGCATTTCTTGTAGCATAGGTCTGTAGGTGAGACATTATCTCAGGTTTTGATGATCTAAGAATGTCTCTGTCTTTATTTTTGATGAATTTTTTTAATGGACAGTTTTTCTTTTCACTTTAATACGTCATTCTAAAGTCTTCCAGCCTTCCTCATTTCTCATGAAGTAGCCCCTAATTTCTTTATAGTTCCCCTGCTTATAATGCATCATTTTCCTCTGGATGCTTTCAAGATTATCTCTGGTTTGCAGCGGTATCACCATAATGTCTGCTGAGGACAGGGTTTTTGTGTTTATCCTGTCCGGGGTCCATTGAGCTCTATAGTTCCTTGCAGTTTTCAAGAATCATCTCTTCTTCAGTCTGTTGTTTGGCACACCATCCAGTGCCTTTAAAAGATGCTTTTAGTGTTTTGTCTAGATTTAATCATTGTGATCTATGGGAGGATTTATACAACCACTTCACTTGACAACTACTTCCTTAAATCCACTCTTACTATACAGTTGGGGGAAAGATGATAGACATTTATTTCACATATTCACAAAAATAAATCCTATAATCTAGGAGTCACCAAAACACCTTTATTCTCTCATCTATTGCTTGGTGTTTAGTCAGCATAGCACTTTGAGAAAGCAATTAGAGAAAAGCTAGAATGAAGTATATCAAGATATATTTGAGTATCCAAAAGTTTTTTTTTTTTGAGTGATGTTTGATTTGTTTCTGGTGGCTTTGGGGGGAGAGCAATTCTATTGTTGCTAGTGGTTAGAATCTCTTTTATGATTTATGTCTATGTAGCAGATATCACATTAGTGTTTAAGATGAGTATATTAGATGCATATGACCACCGAGCACACTTAATAAAAGTATGCTTGAAGAGAAGACAGCATTTGTTAGGGGCTCACGAATTTGTAATTTGTAAGAATTACAAGTGTGAAAGAAATTCCTGGCTATTCTTGCACTTTGATAAGATCTGTGCTGATTCAGAAGAAGAGTTATAAGGTGGGAGGGAGGAGAGAAACAAGGAGAGCCAAACCGAGACTCAGTGCAACTGCAGAAGCTATGAAATGAAAGCAATTCCCTATGTCTGAAGGCTCCTGGGCGTACCTGAATAGGAGATGCACTTTTACAAATCAGTTGCTTCCTTATCTCTAGCCCTGCAGAATCCAGGACAATCCCTTGGAAGAGATTCATGATATTATACACCAGTGGTCCCAAATGTTTTTGACATCAAGGACCAGTTTCGCGGAAGACAGTTTTTCCATGGACCAGGGGGTTGGGGAGGGGAGGTTGGTTTGGGGATGATTAAAACACATTACATCCATTGTACACTCTATTTCTATTAGTACTGCATTGTAATATATAATGAAATAATCCTATAACTCACCATTTAAAAAAAACATGCACAGACTGAGGTGGCAAATAAAATAATGGGTGGGCCATATGTGGACGAAAAAAAGTGTTGGATTCTGACTTAAAGCCTGCCACCAGATGCAGCTGCACCATTGAAGTACAGGAACACTTGTCACTCAGTGATAGGGCTTTGATAGGAGTCTGCAAGCAACTGATTTATTATGGTCTCTGTGCAGTCAGGGCCACTCCCAGCACTAGCGTCACGCCTCAGCTCCGCCTCAGAGCAGGCCTTCCTTCCTCATAAGGACCACGCGGCCCAGTCCCTTGCATGTGCAGTTCACGATACAGTTCGTGCTCCTGAGACTCATATGCCACGTTGACCTGACAGAACATGCAGCTTAGGCGGTCACGTGAGCCATGGGGAGTGGCTGTAAATGCAGAGAAAGCTTCACTCACTGGCCTGCCCTCACCTCCTGCTGTGTGGTCCCGCTGGAGATTCCCGCTATACGCCATGTCAGACGGCGAACACCCCAAAACCTTATGGGGAGAAGGAGATTTAATTTGGGTAAGACTGAAAACAGGTTTTTGTGTTTGTTCTTGTCCTCTGTGGAAGGAGAAAGGAGTGCAGTTTATGAAGAAAATTCTTGATTCTCCATGCCCCAAAGCAAGACACTTAAAATTTGCAGCTGCTTACAACCTTGGAAGAGCTTACTATGAAGGAAAAGGTGTGAAACGATCAGACGAGGAAGCTGAAAGGTAACATACCTGAGAACAAGATTCCATTTGGATGAAATGCTGAAACAAATAATAACTTGCCTGGCTTTCTCTTTTAGACTGTGGCTTTTTGCTGCAGACGATGGAAATCCAAAAGCAAGTGTGAAGGCTCAAGGTATCCTTGGGTTGTATTATTCAACAAAGGAGCCGAGAGAGTTAGAAAAGGTAACATTCCGCTTCCTTTATTTTTTCAGAGATAGGGGTTCCCGCGCATTGCCTGGGCTGACCTTGAACTCCTGGACTCAAGCAATCCTCTCGCCTCCACCTCCAGAGTAGCTGGGGCTACAGACGTGCGCCACCACGCCTAGCTCTTCCCTTTAATGCTAGTGTTGTGTTTACATCGATATTGATCTCTTTTCTGAGAGCATAGTGGAAAATAAGTGTGTCGTTTTTGATATCTCTTGTATTTCTTTATAATATAAAAAATTTACATTTTAGGATCGCAAAGCTCATTTCACACCTTTTACTTATCTGTAAATGCCACCTTCTCTTCATCTACCAAAGGAGACCACAAATGTGAGAGTATCTTGTATACTATAAAAACCTATAAAGTACTCTAAAAAGCTAAAAGAGGTATAGCCCTGAAGTTAAGAACCCAGATCCTTTTATGTGTGACTAAATAGTACCTTTGATTTGAGGAGTGATACTAGTAAATAAAATGTGCTAGTAATTAATTTACAAGTTAAATCCATTTAATACTTTCATAGAAATATAATCTTTCACCATCAATGATTTAAATATACAGGGCTGAGTCCTACTTGTGAGAGGACTTACCAGCAAATTTGTAAGAGGTGCATAAACACTAAGACTATCCTCCTATAACTCAGCAGCCCCTGGAGTTTATAAAGTGAATTCAAATTCACTGCAGTATTAGGCAAATATGCTTGAAACTACAGGCAGCTTTCACCTTTGGTTGTATTGATCTGGGCGGCTGCAGGTCCATCTGAGCTCTAACTTTCCACAACATCATAGGTCCCCTCCCCTGCTGGGCACCGAGCCTTTCAGACACGTAGCTCCTATTTTGCACCTTCTTGATCCTTACTCTGGAAGATCCAAAAATCTTGAAGCCTAGGATAGCTGACCCTCCTCTGCCATGAACTCTCTGGACATTGACACACCTGCACTGTGGACAGACAGCAGAGAAACTCACCTCCACACTGTCTTACGTATGTGAATTTGGTACTAGAGTGAAATACTCCAGGGACTAGAACTATTTCCTAGAGACAAATCATAGTTCTATCTTACAGCCAGAGAATTTTTTGTTCTTCCTTTGTAATTTCATTTTGCAAATCCCAAGAACGATGATGAAACTGTGCTTTTCCTTAGGCATTTTTCTGGCATTCAGAAGCATGTGGCAATGGAAATCTGGAGTCCCAGGGTGCACTTGGGCTCATGTACTTCTACGGACAAGGCATCCGCCAAGACACCGACGCTGCCCTACACTGCTTACGGGAAGCAGCACAACGGGGCAATGTCTATGCTCAAGGGAACCTCGTGGAGTATTACTATAAGATGAAGTTTTTCACAAAGTGTGTGGCCTTTTCCAAAAGGTGAATGTCTTAGTTTCGTGGTGTTAGAATAGAATATCACAGACTGGGTCATTTCTAATGAACAGAAATTTATTTCGCAGTTCTGGAGGCAGGAAGGGTCAAGATCCAGGCAGTGGCAGGTCTGTCTGTGCGGCGAGGACTGCACCCTTCGGGAGGGGAGGGACCCTGCGCCCTCACGTGGCAGTGGAAGGCAGAAGGGCAAGCAAGCCCAAAACGACAGCAAGTCCCTGGTACAAAGGCCTTAACCCCAGTCGTGGAGACGCCCCAATGACCTAACTCTCTCGGAGGCCCCACCTCTTTACAATAGGACATTGGCAACACCTGAACTTTGGAAGGGACACATTCAAACCACAGCAACATTTCAATAAGCTGAGTGAAGGTATTTACAAGAACTCCAGATGTGTCTGCAACAGAGCTTTTTGCAGTGCTGGAAATGATGGCTTCTGAACACCTGCAATGTGTCCAGGGCAACTTAGGACTGGACTTTTAAATGTAATTTGAGTTAATTTAAATAGCCATGTGGTTAGTGGTTACCCTATCGGAGAGTGCAATTCTGTGCCATTAGCCTTCAGAATTTCAGTGCTGTTAGCTTAAGCAAGTGTCTTAACTTTTTAAAGCATCAATTGTTTTAGTTGTAAGAAAATACTTCTACAGCGGGACTATAATAATGGTATACGGGGTACTTAACATAGCTTGGCACGTCAGAATTGCTGGCTTTCTTAATTTTGTCCTCCACTTCTTAGCCATGCAGTTCTATAATTGCACACCTGAAGTATACCTTCGTACAGACTACAAAATGAGAATAATGGCTAAAAGGCTGACTCTAGTATCTAATAAAATATACAAAAACTAGCCGGGCTCGGTGGCTCAGCCTGTAATCCCGCGCCTTTGGGAGGCTGAGGTGAGTGGATGGCCTGAGCCCGCGGGTTCGAGACCCGCCTGGGCAGCGAGACCTCATCTCTACAATAAATCAAAAAATCAGCCGGGCATGGTGGCACATGCCTGTAATTCCGGCTACTCGGAAGGCTGAGGCGGAAGGATCGCCGGAGCCCAGCAGGCCGAGGCTGCGGTGGCCGGGAGCGGCCACTGCACTCCAGTCTGTGACAGAGTGAGACTCCAACTCAAAAAAAAAAAAAAAAAAAAAAAAAAAAAAATATACAAAAACTTATTTTCCCTGAATCCACAAGTCTCCATGTACTTCCCTACATTCATTGGCTTGTCGTACATAGAAGCAATATTCCGGGAGACAGACCTGGATGTTCTCTAGCATGGCCATCAGACTGTGTACGTGCTGGTGTTTCCCAGTCACGCCTACGACAGCGCCACCATCTCCCCCCACTAGAGTGAAATACTCAAGGGACTAGAACTATTTCCTAGAGACAAATCATAGCTCTTATCTTATAGCCAGGGAATCTTTTGTTATTCCCTTATAATTTCAAGTGTGAAGGCTCAAAGCAAGACGCTGGGTGAGCCCAGATCTGCAAGGGAGGATGAAGGGAAGGGGCTGGGTACGTGCTCCTCGCCAGCGTCTTGCTTTCCAGGCAGCAGGCCACTGACAGGAGTGATCGCCGGCATCCCGAGCAAGAGCCCATCCTGGGTAGAACCAAGACTTTAAATAGTTTTTTAAAGTCTTTGGAACTTCTCAGGGTTTTCCACATTCCTATTCCTCGTCTGGTTGTGGTTCACAGGGCGCTGACTAGATCTTGTATTCAGACAATTCTCCATATTTGTGTCTGGGTTGTAAAGAATGACTTTATTGCCCGTTTTTAAAGACAGATATGTTTTCTGGTCCTATGTGACTAACATCCAAATTTGAGGTTGGTGTTTCAGTATATGATCCAAAGAAACAGAAAACGCTTTCCTCCACCTTCAGTTGAAATCCACAGGTAGATAATGTACTACTTAAAATAGTAGTACTGAAAAAAGAAACACAGTTGTTTCCTAGTGGTTATGAAGCCTGCTGAGTATAATCATAGGGAAGCTGGAACTATTCTAGTTCATCTTTCCCTGATACTAGTTGACTACGTTAGGCGAACCCTTGACCACACAGCAAACAACTTAATTCTCAAAGGGGTAGAGAGAAATCACCGTAGGCAGGACAATTTCTAAGCACAGCGTTTTGTGAAGACGTAAACCATGACTGATGTCCTTTTCAATTTCACAACGTCCTATCAGGATTGCTGACTATGATGAGGCTCATGACATTCCCATGATTGCCCGGGTCACAGACTGTCTCCCGGAGTTCATCAGCAGAGGCATGGCCATGGCGTCCTTCTACCACGCAAGGTGTCTTCAGCTGGGCTTGGGCATCCCCAAGGATGAAGCAACAGCTAAACACTATTATTCCAAAGTAAGCTTTAGAACAAAATATTAACTAGCCCAAATATAAATTTCTGTGTTTTTAGTTGAGACTTGAACAACGAGGATTAGCATTTTTTTCCTACTCAATTACTGTGCAGATAGTATCTGTCTAGAGAGGCTGTTAGACATGCAGATTGGCTGCAGACAATTCTGTCAGATTCTTATCAGCATAATGAAGCTGAAATTATAAAAAGCCCCATTTTGATGCAAATTATTATTGCATCCTGATATTATCCATAGCAGGACGCCCAGCACCAAGATCTTAAAGTTCATGTCTTTCACCCAGAAAAAGGATGAACCTATATTGTCATTCCAGTATAATGAGATGTAGTTTTTTGAACATGCTTTTTATACATGACATTTACCACACTTGGGAGAAATAGTCACGAGTTTGAGGCAATCCGTTAAAATAAGTCTCTTCCATATTTTCACCCATGTGATCAATTTATTTAGATTCCAAATGAATTTCATATCTAAAATAATACAGCCATTAATAAGCAGGAGGGGCAGTGGGGGTTGCAAAGTGGGGACACTGGATCTTTCAGAAAAAGCGAAAAGCTGTGCACATCTTAGGTCCATGACGTTCATGAGGTCAAGATAGAATTACACCATAAAAATTTTGTAGTTTGTTCTCCAAGGGGAAGAGAGAAATCACTTCAGGCAGAAAGACAATTTCTAGACACAGCGTGTGTGAAGACGTAAACCATAACTGACGTCCTTTTCAATTTCCCCACTTAACATTCCATCAGGATTGCTGACTGTGATGAGGTTCCTGATATCCCCATGATGGCCCGGGTCACAGACTGCCTCCCGGAGTGTACACATTGTTAAGCTTGAGTGGGGCGGGGAAGAAGGCAAGAAAAATTTTAAGTCCCTTGGCTGAATCTGATATTATAGCAGTGGTAAAAACCTAAATATTAAAATCACCCGAGGATCTTTTAAAAACTCCAAAGCTCAGGCTTAATTTCAGAGAAATTAAATCATGATCTCTGGGAGACACAAGTACATTTGAAGGTCTCCATGGGATTCCAATGTCAGGTAAGTTTGAGAACCCTAAGCCCAAGTATTTTGTTTGAAATTAAAATTTCCGGAGGCTGGGTGTGCTGGCTCACACCTGTAATACCAGCACTTTGGGAGGCCGAGGTGGGAGGACTGCTTGAACCCAGGAGTTCAAGACCAGCCTAGGCAACATAATGAAACCTGATCTTTACCAAAAAAATAAATAAATAAAAAGAAAAATTAGCCAAGAGATGGTGGCACACACTTGTAGTCCCAGCCATTCAGGAGGCTGAGGTGGGAGAATCGCCTGAGCCCAGGAGGTTGAGGCTGCGGGTGAGCTGTGATTGTCACTGCCCTCCAGTCTGGGTGACAGAGTGAGACCCTGACCACACACACACAATTTGCAGAGCATCAGACCCATAAATATACTGACCTCTGAGGTGTTTCCCACTATACCATTCTACTAGTATGAATAACAGTTTGTTAAATTTTTTCATTTAAACACTCTGCATTATGCCAAACCAAGTCCATTTCAGGTTCTATGCTATCCTTGGAAAACTCTGGGATGAATACATTCTGACATGAGGAATGCGTTCATTCTGAATTAAATAGCGAAACAGATTGCAGCTTGAGAACTCTTCCATACAGAGTGGGAGGTAACAGCCCACTAGCCTCCACAAATGAGACCACATCTAGAATCCTGTACTCAAAATAGTCATAAAAATGGAGAACATCTAGAGGCAGTCACCCAGTGAAAGGCCTGGGATCATGTCACGTGAGGCATGGCGAGAGAAATGGAGAAGGCCTCACTCAGAGCAAAGGTACATGAGGGGGTCCTGATGGTGGTCTTCCCTGGACTGGCAGAGCGTTCCATAGGAAAGGAGCTGTGGGGAAGGCGCGGAACTGTAGCCATGACCCTGTGTTACGGTAGGAGGTGAGGCGATAAGGTTAACAGAGAACCCGAGGGCAGGAGACCCAGTTGTGCTCTCAGCTCTGCCTCTGTCAAGCTGGGTGACTTTGCCAGCTACTTTGCTTCCTAGGTTTCTATGAAACCAGCATTATATGTTCTCCTGGGACCCTTCAATGATTCTAAAGTATATGGAGGGAAATCTCAGCTTTATATAAGAAAGAGCCCTCCAAAATAACTGTCCAGGAAACAAAGTTTTCTCTCTAAGGTGGTGTGGTCCTACCACTAGAAGCAACCAAGCAAATACTTAGTGACAAACTGTCATGGGTACTGAAGGGACAATTTCTGTGACATTCTAGAAATTATGCGTGTTATCACTATTTACTTTTGGCATAATTAAATGATGTATTTTAAAATAAGATTAATATAGATGCTGCTATTACATCCTGAGATCATGACAAGTTTGAGGCCAATGTCAATGCTCTCTATTTTACTGATTTTAATAATTCATAACATACAATGCTATCATCAGTGCTTAAACCCCTTTTATTCTTGGCACTGATAAAATGTTCTCTCTTTCAAATGAAATTAACATGGTTATTTTGAGTAGGATCTATTTTGCATAGGTTAAATTGGAAACACCCTTATTCTGATTAGGAAGTCAGAATTGAAAAGTATCTTAATTAACAAACTTCCTTGAAATTCATGAACTTTATCATTCTTAAAAATAAACTTAAAAAGAAGAAAGACAACTAGAATCTATCTAAATAACTGACTCTCTTTCATTTTAAGGCTTGTCGCCTGAATCCTGCATTGGCAGATGAACTTCACTCCTTACTTATTCATCAAAGAATTTAGACCACAATGCATTTCAACAAAGGTCATCAAGTGTAACACCATACAACGTGTTTATTTTTTATAGCAGCTACGTTTGGTTATTTTCTGCATCCCAGTACAGGTGACATGTTATCTTCATTCTTGAACTTGTATGCTGTAATGTTCGCAACTTAAAACCTAGACACAGGACCACACTGCTGGAAGAGTTCTCAGAGATCTACCTCCTATCCCATAGGCTTTCATAGACCATACTAAATATTGAAACCAATCTATAAAGTAAGTATCTTTCCTTTCCTAAATACCGGGTTTAAAAAGACTTAATGTAGTATGAGTTTTATAAGTTCAGAAGTGGAAATGCTACAAATTTATTTAAAATCACATTTGAAAGTTTAATTTAAATTTATTTGGCCCTTTTGTGAATTTTGAATAACATTTTAAACTTTTTGTTTCAATTTTTAAAAAAATTTAAATGTAAAATTCACAAAACTAAATAAGAGTCAAAGAAATTTACAGGATCAAACTTTCAAATGGTAAGTGTTAGTATAGCACATCTACTTCTGAAGTTATTAAAGCTAAAACTGTACTAAGTCTTTTGGGACAGCTTGTATTCTTAAATTCTTAAGTAAATAATTAGCTAATGTAAAACATATAAACTTCAAAATCAATGGGTATTAGATCTTGCTTTAGAATCTTGCTCTCCAAATCTTTCCTCAAAGGTCTGAATTTAATGAGTAAAGCCACTGCTATATTCCTGATGATTATTCATAAGATAATTACAGAAAAAAGATTCTTTGTGCTTCAACTCATTTTCTGTGTTTTTTCTTTTTTCTTGATTTTCTACATTTTTTAAACCCTAGATATATTTCAAGGCAAAAGAAATAGTTCAAAAAAATTCAATAAAATCATTTAACGATATAAGAACTACAACTATTGTTTAAGAATTAAATAAGCAAAAGGCTTTCCTTGTATCAATAACATCTACAAAGGCAAAAGGTGACAATAAAAATAGTAAACCACATGCATAAGACTATATAGGGACATACATTTGTGAAAAAAATATACATGGAAAATGTCTTAAAGATACCTTAACTATCCCTTTTTTGTAAACATACTAAATTGATATAGCTTTATTTTATAAATCACTTCCAGCCTTTCTGACAATGGATTTAAACAAGATCTCTTCTTAGTAGTGGGAAAATGCAATTAATATGTAGGTGACAGTCACTAGAGAAGTGCTGCATGGCAGAAAATTATTTGTTCCTGTTACATGTTCTGGCTTGCCTATATTGCAAGAACTTTATTATGTCTTTAAGAAAGAGAAGTTTCAACAGACTCAGGTTTGAGATATCCTCAAGTGGTCAAGTACTGCTGTCTTAAATCTCTTAAAAAAACAAAAAAAACTTTAAACCATCTCTGAAAACCAGTCCTTCTCTTCTAAAATTGTTACTGAAGGCTCTATATACTCCACTAATAACACTATTCAACATCTCAAGTCCACTACAAGATTTCATAATGTCTAACTTAAACCTTTTTCTACAATACAAGCCACTTATTTTACTCTAGTTCTCTTAATATCATCCATTGAAGATCCAAATTCCCAACCAGTATTTTCTTCTCCATACTTAATTCAGTTTCTAAAGCCTTTCGATAAGACTCTTAAAATACAGAGTAAGAGTGACCCAGAGAGAAGACCACTTTTTAAACTGCCATCAAAACATAGGTCTCAGAGATCATGTACTTAGGAATTTGACATGGGTCATATGTAGTAACATGCTATGTGCCTAAATGTCTTCGGTGAACTCAACACAGAATTAAAATTTTCAGTTTACTGTGGTTACCATAAAGCTGATGCTCTGGTACAGGTGAGCTTTTGGAAACTGCCTCTACTATGGACAGTGGTTTATACCTTGACCTTTGAGTAGAGTTAGTCTTTAACTCAAGTAGTTGCGGCTTCCAGATCATTACTCTCAAAACAAAAAATTTAGCCGGGCTCGGTGGCTCAGCCTGTAATCCCGCGCTTTGGGAGGCTGAGGTGAGTGAATTGCCTGAGCCTGAGGGTTCGAGACCCACCTGGGCAACTTGGCAAGACCTCATCTCTACAAATCAAAAAATTAGCTGGGTGTGGTAGCGTGCGCCTGTAGTTCCACCTACTTGGAAGGCTGAGGCGGAAGGATCACTGGGGCCCAGCGGGTTGAGGCTGCGGTGGCCAGGAGTGGCCACTGCACGCCAGTCTGGGAGACAGAGTGAGACTCCAACTCAAAAAACAAAAAAAACAAAAAACTTCTCTGAGGTTCCTAATAGCTGATATCTCATGAAAAATATGAGACTCTATCACAAATAAATATTGAGGAATCAAAATAATAGCTATTTTTCTAATTTGCAATATTAACAGCTACAGTCTAAATAAATGATAGTATAGAGTTATGCACACAATGGACATTTCCAGGAATTGGGTTATGATGAGTTCTTTGGGCTTGGCAACTCACATTGCTTCTCTTCCCTGGATGTATATACCATATGACCTTTTTTTCCCCTTAAAGTAGCCTTTTGGAGGATAATTCTTATCTATATAAATAGTCAACTTTGGCCGGGCTCGGTGGCTCAGCCTGTAATCCCGCGCCTTTGGGAGGCTGAGGTGAGTGGATTGCCTGAGCCTGCGGGTTCGAGACCTGCCTGGGCAGCGAGACCTCATCTCTACAATAAATCAAAACATCAGCCGGGCGTGGTAGCGCATGCCTGTAATTCCGGCTACTCGGAAGGCTGAGGCGGAAGGATCGCCGGGGCCCAGCAGGTCGAGGCTGCGGTGGCCGGGAGCGGCCACTGCACTCCAGTCTGGGCGATAGAGTGAGACTCCAACTCAAAAAAAAAAAAAAAAAAAAGTCAACTTTGGGTTTTTCTGAAAGTGGATAAAAAGCTAAAACTAGAAGAATCTCAAAGATAAATTTCGGTTTACCAATTTTTAATCATTTACCTTTGCTTCTTATCAAGAACTTGGCAGATATAATCTATCAACAATATAACCTACTACTTTTTATATATCTAGTATCTTTCTCTCATGAATTCAAGCGGAACTTCTGCCTTTTAGTCATTTTGTTTTCAATATCCCTGGGGATTAACGAGGGGAGGTAGTCTATTATCACTGCATAATGAGTGGTGAAACGCACAAAAACTGATTAAGTGATTTGTTCACGGCTACACAGTCAGTACAAGCCAAAATCTGAATTATGGATCTCACCTAATGCCCCTTGTGGGCTTTAATCAAGTCCCTGAACTCCCTTAAGTGACCTCCTTCCTCTTTCTGCTTCCCCATCCCAGTCCTGCCTGTGTGTCACGGTGAAGTTCGGATTGCAACCTCCCTGGCTCTTTTCACTCACTAAAAGTCGTATTTCACATATTTATTTTGTGCCTAGAGAAAGGCAACAAACTTTATACTTCCTTGAGGAACTACAGTGTTTTTTGTTTTGTTTTGTTTTTACAAAAAGGCACTCAGTAAATATTTGAACTGCTCAAAGTGTTTCAACTTCATTTTTTGTGAGATATAAATATCTTAAATATAATACAGCGCCGATTCATTTTTAGATTTTATTGCTTTGAATGCTCAAACTATAGGAAATCTTTGGTAAAAATAAAGACAATAAAATTTTCACAATAACTTTACACAAAGCATTGCACAACAATGTTCTTCAATACACATGAAGTAATACAGGAATGTTCAGAATCCTCAGTGAGGAAATTGACTGTACAATATTCATAGTTCATTTTAAAACAAAATCGTTTTCATAAACTTTAAAATATTTTCTAAGTTATCACATATTAACATTTGTATTTAAATCAGTATGTTAAACTTTAAAGTATTTACAGTATTTAAATAAAAATCAATGTAAGTATTTTTTTCCTGTTGCCTACTGCAGCATCGAGTCCCCTCCGCCCTGGTTCTGTTTATTCACACCAACCTAGAGGGGAGGTGGAGCTAAAATAAAAATCAATATGGTTCTCAGTCAAGCCCTCTGTGGAAAAGAGGAAAATGTTTCATGTCTATTATTACACAGACATTTTTCTGGTGGTTTATTTGTGCAGTCTCAAACTTGACCAGCTTTAAGTTGATCTAAATGAATTCTCAGCTCGGGACACAGTTCAATGAGCAGCAGTTCCATCAGCACCTGAACCAAGAAAGAAGAGGGGGAAATAGCAGAGAAATGTGTTTATTTTCTCCATGGGTTTACTAAAAATAAATACCTGCATCTAAGAGAAAAGTCTAACTGTAGGTCTGAAATTATTCTCAGGGAACAAATGACTCTCAAACAAAATAAACTAATGCCATATAAACTCTAGGTAGCCATGATCAAATCACCAACAATATTTAATATTGGTAACTATAATCGAAGAGATACTGGGAGCCGTTGGTTTTGTTGAAATAAGTAAACCAAGAGAGACAACCAGTATGAGAGAATGAGAATGCTACATGCACTAGGGTTGTTTTTTTCCAACCAAATTAACAGATAAGAGCCAATGGGTTCACAGTAAGTAACAGGCATGATTAAGAATACAAATAATTAAAATCTACCCCAATATGTGAACAAAAATATAGCAGTCTGAAAAACTCCCTCGAGCTTTAACTTACTCACATATAACAGATGCTTATTGGCTCTTGTTTCCTGCAATGCATTGAATATTTTTATTATACCATGGCGGGCATTTTGCTGTCCAACAAGGTTCTGAAGCGTATCTGAAAAATGAAGTTTATATCTGTGCTGCTACTGATAAAGTGCACAATGCATAGATGTTCAATGAAAGAGATATCACATGATATACACATAATAAATAAGGGCACTGAGCATAAGACACATGAGTAGTCAGTTCTCTCAAACGCTTAAAGAGAAAATAAGTGCATTTATAATTTTTCAACATGATACTTTATGTAAACTGTAATTTTAATATGTTGTTATTAATTTTAACAATTAAAATATTGATATATTGCTACAAATTCAGCTCTCAAAACACTGTACGTTAGCAGAATTTCCAAAGCACAAAATTTATTATCTGTTCTAAAACATTTTTCTAGTTAAAAATTGTTAAGATTCTCAGCATAGCTTCTTAGCAAGTGACAAGAAATGGTTTAAAAGAAGAGAATATGATCATTTTTTTCATGGTCAAGAATGTTTCCTAAGAAATATCAATGAAAAATACCTTAATAGGGTTAACATTCCCTCTTTATCTTTATGCTTTTCAGGATAATAACCCAGGCCTCACCTGGAATGTTTTCAAGTAGCTTTTGCTGTGCTCTCTGTTTTGTTTCCTGACTTTGCTCTTCACTTCTGATTGTGGTTGGTGGTGCCAATTTCCCATTTGGCCAAAAAGCATCCCGGAAAACATTGATGTAGTAAACCAACATTTGCTCACTGAAAATCCAGTTCACTGTGTCCCGGATTTGTCTTTTAGGAGAAAAATATTTATTGGATGAGATTTTTAAAAAATTTTGTACTCTATCTTCAAAAGGTATTTATCAATGGGTAGGTTAAGATACGGTCTGATCTAAGTGTTTGAATAAACTAGGGACTGGATTCTTAAACTCTGCCTGAAAATTTTTTTTGTTTTGGAAATACTGCATGATCATTTATTCTTGGAGCTCATAGTTACTGTCACTAACTCTTCCAGATGTTGGCCACACGTTACCTTTCAATCTTTAAAGGCAAGAACTGAGAAATTGATTTATTGGTCACGCATTACCTTTCCATCTGTAAAGGCAAGAACTGAGAGAATGATTTGTTTGAAGACTGCAACTACACTAACTGCACAAAGGACTTAATATACTAATTTCCCAGCCAGGCACTGTGGCTCACACCTGTAAATCCCAGCACTTTGGGTGGCTAAGGTGGGAGGATCACTTGAGCCCAGGAGTTCCAGACCAGCCTGGGCAACATAGTGAGAACACATCTCTACCAAAAAAAAAAAAAAATTAGCCGGGCGTGGTGGCATGTACCTATAGTTCCAACTACTTGGGAGGCTGAAGTGGAAGAACTGCCTGAGCCCAAGAGGATGCGGCTATGATGAGTCATAAACGTACCACAGCACTCCAGCCTGGGTAACAGAGTGAGACCCTGACTCAAAACAAACAAACAAAACAAAACAAAACAAACTAAGAACACTAAGAAACCAATTTCTACATGAAGTATTATTTAAGTTTAAAACTTAAATCTATTTAAAGATGGCTAAAAGTGGTCTGCAAAACCTCCCTGAATGCTTAGACGAGAACCAGGCCTTCCACTAGCTGCCTCTAGTGTTGCAATGGTAGAGAACATTGAGCATAATGCTCTGACCCAGAGGAAGCACCTCACATGCTCACGGGGAAAAGAAAGATACTTCCTCTCTATCTGCCATCTGGCCGATTTCAAACACCCATGGGGATAAAAATTGGGCAGGTATTTGACTTGCACAGTTATGCATAAACGGCTTTTATTTGGTTACCTAGGTCTTTCTCACACCCTATTTCATGAGTCATTTGTCAAATCCTAAATCAGTTACAGGTCTTCTGCTGTTAAGAGACAAGAAAACACAGCTCAAAGGACCCAAGCAGTTGTGAGGCTGAGAGGAGAAAGTCTCTCTGTTAAAGGGGGGAAAGAGTCATTTAAAAACTATCAGTGCCAGAGGGACATGACATTTCAAACTCAATTCATGAATAATAAATAATTAATCAAAAAACCCTTTAAGAATCTGGTTTCCAATCAGACTTTTAAAGGGACAATAGAAAGTTTTTAGAATCAGTATTTGAAAACGATGTTACCAGATAGTAATCAGTCACTATTGAATGAATGTCTCAACTTCGAGTCAAGCTATAAAGTTATCTGTCTGTAATTGCACATCACTTAAGATTCTTCCTCATACTGCTTAGAACTGTGAGATTCTAATCTAGACCACATAAAATATGCCCATTAACTTAATGGGGCTTCTGCTTTAAGAGAAAAATCTGCCAAACTGCCTGCATACCTACCCAAAATTTCAGTTTACAATTTAAGATTAGGTAAGTGACTCTTACCAAAGGTCATCACCGAAGCATTTTCTATCAGTTTAGGCCTGATTTTCTTTTTTTGAGTTGCAGTCTCACTCTGTCACCCAGACTGGAGTGCAGTGGCCGCTCCCTGCTCCTCGACCTGCTAGGCTCCGACAATCCTTCCGCCTCAGCCTTCCAGTGACTGGAACTACAGGTGTGCACTATCAGGCCCGGCTAATTTTTTGATTTATTGTTGAATGAGGTCTCGCCAAGTTGCCCAGGCGGGTCTCGAACCCGCGGGCTCAGGCAATCCACTCACCTCAGCCTCCCAAGGTATGGGATTACAGGCTGAGCCACTGAGCCCGGCTAGCCCTGATTTTCTATTAGCCAGAACCCATAGGAAGTTTTTGAAGCAATTCTAGTATGTGAAAGTACAGTCGCTACAAGGCAAGAAGCACATACTGTACTGCTGCTGAATTTTATGATGTGTCATCACCTCAAGGCAAAAATAGCAAGGGATCAGGTGCTCCATATTCTCGACCTGATAAACAGCCTGAAAACTCTCTACATGGTGCCTCTCCTCCATCCCCATGAAAATAACTGCCACAAACCACAACGGACCATTTTATAATTAAGAGCCAATATCATAAACAGGAATAAGAAAAGTGTGTGTGTGATTGCTGAAACTGAAAAGAAAAATAAATGAGCAAATCTTGAGTACTGAGAAAAATAAGGCCATTTTAGAAATTTCTTTATCTAAGGCCTGTCAATACTGAAGTTAAGAGGTTTGCTTTAGACTAAAACATTAAGTTAAATAGGCCATTTTTCTGATTAGAACAAAAGAATATGATACTAAGTCAACTATACAAGTCTCTGATGGGCAACTAAAAGTATGTTTAAAAAAATCTTAGAGATAAAAGTAACCATTTATTTGTCAATGACTACAAGAAAAAATTCTATTGGGAAACTCAATTGAAAAGAATCACAGATGTTCTTTACAATTTATACAATATTTTATAAAAATTGTACAACAAATTTTCCTATAAAAATTTACAAGATCTTTAAAAATATGATACAACTATCATATTAACCTTGTTTGACAAATCAATTTATCTTTCACTTGGGAAAATCTGACAATTTCATCCTAAAATTTATTTTGTTATATAAAAAAGCATTTTTTTCTTATTTCTGAAGGAGACTCACATGTCTCTCCTTCAGGGAGTTATGATGCTTATCTCTTGAAGAATTTTGGGTATAGCATTAGCACTTAAGAGACCTTGATAACAGCAGTTCCAAATTCTAGGCACAGATACAAAGATGTAGCAGAGCGAAGCAGGCACCAGCCAGCAGCCAGGTTGGGCTGGCCGACCAGCCTGATGACTAGACGGGTCACTCGATCTCTGCGGTTCTGTCTCCTCACCAACAAAGTGAGGAGTCAGGCTAAGACCTTTAGACCCCCTTCAGGCCTGAGCCCGTCTAAATCTGCTTGACATCTCCTGAGTGCGTGATTTTGCAGTTATGAAAAACTTCGATAATTTCTTAGAAATTAATACTGATTACGAGTTCTCGATAATAGGCCCAGAACTTTCATAAATGAATGACCAAAAGTGGATCGCTTTTTGTGAACAGCATTAGAACACTGTGAAAGATATGTATTTATATACAATGCTTTCTAAAAATATGGATAATGTAATATAGAGTATACTATGGCTTATAATAGTGCTATATGATACTCACATGCACCCCAATGGACACTCAGCTATTAACAAGAATAATTAGCATTTTAATGCTACCTCAACTCTAAAAACATTAATAAATGGCTTGTATTTCTGTCCAAATACATACCTGCCATGTGATGCTCATCCTACTTTAATTTTGGCTTCGAATTTAAATTTTAAACTGACTCGCGTCATGTGACATAAAAACACTATACCCAGGATACACAAACTAGTTGTCATGATTAAAAAGGAAGAGAAATTCAGAAATCTGCTTCATTAACCAATCTTAAAATCATATCAGAAATAGAAAGAGAAAACACAATACTTTCTGTTAAATCACTGGCTACCATACCATCAGGTAATTTGACTATTAAGGCAAAGAGTAGGGAATGGATCTAAATATTTATTTCATAAACTCACTTGTTGATGGTTCTTCCAAAAGTGACCTGAACGAGGGCAATTAATGTTCTTCTCACCCATTTGAACACTAAAATAGGAATCAGAGGAAAATTTTTTATCACAGGATATCCCAATTATGACATTTTCATAGCTGCATGAAGTATAAATCTAATCACCCAGCCCCATCTGAGTCCTCACATCAAGCCAAGGCTATGACATCTGCAGAATCTGGGTTTAGGTAAGCTAATTTCTGCTCAGAAAAACTCTTCAATGCTTTCATTTTCTACTAAGCAACTGAATAGATGAAACCAGAGTTATTATAGCTTTTCAATGCCTAAACAGCAGCTGATCTAGCAAGAGGAAATAATCCTTTACTTCTTAAGTCCCTGTGCTACTGAAACACGTCTGTTTTCCACTAGCTGACAGCGCAGTTCTTATTTTAGACTTCTGTCTGGCTTGCTGAACCCAACTTTCAAACATACTGCTCTGAGTAACACCTGCAGTCAAATGTTGACAAATATTTTGAAATACTGATGAACTGACAGGTCTAACTGCTCCCATATGGACAGTAGTGTGTGGATCATAGTGTACTTTTATATGTTTTATGCATTTGGAGGAGGAAAGGAAAACTGCCAAGAGCCAGGATCCTGAATGAGACATGAATTCAGTGATCTCCTATGCTACCACCTTCTACAGCAGCTGGGCATAAATCACTTTCTTATTCTGTTTCCTCTTCTGGAAAAGGATAGTGTTAACATGTGATTTTCTTTGCTCTGAAGGTCTTTTTTGTGTGATAAGCATTGTGAAGGGTTCCACAGATCTAAATTTTTAGTAACATGGAGACATTTTTTTTTTTTTACAGGTAATAGAATATGGACATAAACCAAAAGAAGGCAAAGAAATTCTATGAGGATATTTTAAGTTCACAAACTGGACTCTAACACAAATGTTCATGTATATATTAGCTTCCATTCATTGAAATGTTTGGCTCCAGACACATAAGGAAATAAGAAATTCATACTTGGCTATAATGAAGCCAAGAGTTCAAGACTCCTGCACCTAGTAGAAAATCCTAAGAGGAGCAAATTCACAAATGTCTCTGTAAAGGGAAGCCACACAAATAAAAATCAATCAATATAGACTTGGTACTGGACTTGAAAACATTTGCAAGTCATTTCTAATTTTTTTTTTAATAGATCATAGTGTCCAGTTA